TTCAGTATTGAACAAGGACTTCAGAAGTTTGAATAATATACGCTTCAATTCAATCATTCAATCAGCCTCACACATAAACCCCGATTGCAGAACTTCAACTCATGCAAGCTGGAATTGCAATAGAGGGTCCTTACTGGGTCGAGCAAAATTTGAACTCTAATTTTCCCAGTTCATATTTATAACTTTGCAGTTGAGGTGTTCCCTTTAACAGAACTTATCAAGCGTAAAAGGCAATCCAAAGCTATGATCGTATCAATACAAGGTGATATCGGTACGTTAAATTTCTACAATTAAAGACAACCTGTTGAATCTGCTGAACTGTAGGCATGATATACACAGACGAGTAGAATGTTATGATTCAGAAAAGAAGAGTTCTTTAGCAAGCAAGCATTTACCTGCAGCAGCAGGCAGGGTGTTGAGGAGGGACCACAAACCACTAGAACCTTCTGCTATGTCAGAATTCAGAATTGGTATCCCTCTCCTGCCCTGGCGATCTACCATGTGTCGCGGTGATCACAAAATAAATAACAGCGTGCCTATTCTCAGGATGCTGGTTTACCGCGAGGTGAGTCGGAATTTCATTACCATCTTCCTTACCGACTCCTTTGGGTGCATAAGGGGAATGAATCAGTAGAACAGGAGCGATATACATGTACAAAAGGAACATTCTGGAAAACAGCTTGAAAACATCGAATATGTGCAATTTTCAATACGCATTATTTTTTTAGCAGCAAGCCGTATCCCCAAAATGTAAATACGTTCCATGGGTAATTGTTAGCACCTCACATTATGCCCCGCCGGGTGTGAAATCAAATTTCGATTTACGTTTTGTCTTTTTTTTTTGGTTTGTTTCGTTTTTTTGTTTTAGACCGGTCGCTAAAAATGCCGCGGTGCATGACTTGGTGACGTCGCGGTTAATGAAGTTACTCGCGCCCGTCTTGGCTGGTCATGTTTGCTCTGATCAGTTTTCGCCCGAGGCCGTCACATCTTCAAACGGCATGGACCGTGCAAGCGCGATCGTTGGGAAATCTTGACGTCGCTTAATTCTTCACGGGTCTTGGCAGAAAAGACGGTTGAAACAGACTTGAGACGATGGTTGTTTTATAGAGAGATGATGTTGATGTATTATCTTTGTAATTGACAACTCAAGCAGGACAGCCTGACCGTAGATAATTCTAGCAGTGATTGGTTAATATGATTAGTGCTGTAGGGTTAAGTCAGTGTCAGCAAGTCCAAAAGAGCAGGATTTACAAAGATTCATGAATGCTACCCCCAAAAACTGTTGACACCAATCATGTCAAAAGTGCTTTCTTCTCTCAGACAAAGACACGCCATCCACATATTTAATATTCTCTTTACAACAGTTTTAAATACACGTGATAAATAAATGATATTTCTTCAAGTTCATCAAAAAATTAAACTATAACCCTTTTTGGAAAAAAACCCATTAAAAAATGTCAGCTTGTAACTTCCCCAAGAAAATCCATGAGGAATTTTGGAATTTGTAAGAGGAAGAAGTGAAGAGAAAAGAAAACTGAGGAGAAAAGAGGAAAGTATGGGGAGGAAAGCTGATTAAATTTTGAGAAAGCAAGAACTCCAATGTAATGAACACATTCTTTAGGAAGAATCCAGATCGAAAAAGGACGTGGAAGCGTCCAAACGGAGAAACAGAATGATATACATGCAGACTTTATAGCGTACAGTGAAAGATGTCATAGTTATTTCACAGTTCAGCGCTGGAAGCGATCATCGTCTAATTATAGAGCACTAACCAAGAGTAACATGAGACTGGATAAAGCTAATTAAGTCACAATGAGAAAGCCACGAGCCGATTTTAAAACCCCTAAGCAAAAGAAGGATAAATGCCATCAAGAACAGATATCAAGTGCTAAATAACGAACTGGAAAACAATAATGAAAATTCCCAGTGTCAGGTGATAGACATCAACAAAGACACTGCACTGTAGGTAATGGCGAGAAATAGACAAGCTAAAGAAGAAAGCTGTCACAGGAAAATTCCAGTTTATAAAGAAAAAGAGGAAAATGGAAGAAAGAAGCACAAAAAAGTGTCATATGCAGAAACCTGTTTAAAGACCATTAGGAAGAGAATGGAAGACGAAATACAGAGATTCGTGCATGCAAAGATCGAGCAAGCTATGCTGACAAACAAAAGCTTCAAACGAGTTAGAAGAACTCGTCTCAGGGAAATCACAAATTATTGCTTTGAAGTCAACCAAACCAGATGACGAAGATGAAATTCCAGACATAGCGATCAAATAAGGTATGCATTGAAAGAAATGAAAACGGGAAAGGCATCAGGTGGAGATGAAGTGCTCATCTAGTTCTTCAAGGAAGGAGGGATCGAGTTTGTAAGCGACTGGCAGATCTCTTCACGGAGTGCATGAAGTCAAATACAATCCCTAGCAGCTGGGGAAATGCCAACATTATACCTGTACACAGGAATGGTGACATTGATCTGCCTCCTGTCTATTAATTAAACCTGCATGTATAATTAGCAATTAAAGTGCTCACATCATTCCATTTTTAGACTTCAACCAACCATGGGAACGGGCGGGGTTGCTTCATCCACGATACTTAAACAGCTGACAAATGCATTTATAATTTTAACAGTTGGCAAATATGAAAAACAACCAACTCTCAGGAGAACCGAAGCTGAATGTGTGCTTTCAGGTACTAAAGTGGCACCACGAAGAGCAAGATGCCATCATGCCTGAGCATTTGACCAGTGTGTCATACCAGTAATGAATCATGGAGCGGAGACGCGGACGATAACAAAACACATGGAACTGAAGCTTAGAACAACACCAAGAGCTATGGAAGGTGTGTGTTGGGAATTACTGAAAAGGACAGGAGAACTTGTTACTGGATAAGAGAGCAAGCGGAACATGAGAAGAAAAAATGGAGGTGGGCAAGGCGTACGGCCCGAACTAATAACAACAGATGGACAAAACCGTGCACAGAATGGCAACCAAGGGAGAGGCTCCTTGCTCATTCATGAAGGCTTCACGTCACTGAACTCTGTGAAACGGTCGCCCGTGACACTAGCAAAAAGGCCGCTGTAAACTCTATGCCATGGGTGTTTGAAGACTCTCAAATGTTCCTTTCAATAACGCAGCTTCACCCATTTTGTTAAATCTGCTTTAAATTTAAATTTACTCGATGCATTTGTGAGATGTATCATCTTTTTTAATAATCTAATATAAGAGAATGTGGGGTTTGCAATTCACACAAATTTTCTACCACTGAATTAAGAAGTAAAAACGTAAAAGTAAAGCAAACAAATTTAGAAAACCGTTAGCCTAATTTTATGTATATAGATGCATACCAATTTGAATGACGTAAATTATCATATCTGCTATATACTTTGACGTATTTCGCGAACTACACACGGTATTATGGCCACACGTCACTGATTGTATGTTAACATGGCCTTATACAGTGGAAACGATCTCCTATACCCAGTTTTGGGTAGAAAACGGGGTGTTGGCTGGGACGCTCGTGACGAAGATTTTTGACGCAGTCATGGGAGCCAAATGTTCCTACATTACATGAAATTAAATCAAGACCCAGTGCCTGATATGCCGTCATTCCTCTAGGAACGGAAAACTAGCAGACACCGCCATAGGCAAGGAAAAACAGCTCTTGTTGAATTCTACATTGAAAGAAATGGGTTCCCTCGTGCGAAACAACCTTGCCAGTCCTACTTGTCATGATTCCTGCATGAGACACGAAGGATATTGAACAACGACGTTTGTGAGCCCAGCATATAACTGCCATAGGCTCGCTAACCACCATCCCGCAGCCTCTCTATTATTACGTCCGCGATTGCTTCCAACAAGTCGAGTGAAAGCCTATCAGTAATACATTCTCAATATACTCTTAAGCAAGAGGTAGCAATTGGAATTCCCTTAAAGTGGGCTCAGATGTTTTTAACTGGATGGAGATGGGGGGTCCTCTGGTTCCGACCTTGACTGGTTGATTTATAGGACCACTCTTTGAGATGAGCTGCAACGAGACTGCCACTATTTTGCGTGGCGTTATTTGTCTAAAAATGCTTGCTGTTACCATGGAGCTATTATACACAAGGAGTAAGCACATACAGAAATCAAAAGGGTCAATGATGGCCACCGCCAGCACTGCACGTGCTGCAAGGACAAAACAAATTACGCGCCGCTTGGAATGCTGGGGTTGCATTTGCAAAGGATTGTGGGTACAGCGCATGCGTGTCCGTAACACTTCCGGATGTTCAGCATGGCCGCCCTGAGACGGAAACCACCGTCATCAGAGACTTAAATTTCGATAATTTTAGTGATTGTTCTTAGATTTCAATGATAATGAAAGTCTGGTTGCGTCTTTACCTGCCGAAAAATCTCTCTTAACAATAAACAAAATTACTAACTAACACAAATTCTCCAAAAATACGCGACAAGAAAACTGACAGAATGTAGCTGGTTCCGAGGAAAATAAAAAAAAAACACACAAAAACATGGAAAGATTCGCTGTCCTTCCTGTCATTGGCCACATTTGGCCAGGCATGAAACCTCGCAACATTGTCAAATGCATTCCTGCGGCATGTTTCCACCTTTTTTTAACCGTAGAAACCACTAGGATTGAGGCTTATGATATAAAATCGCAGTTCACATTGTGGGTATTTGTTCTCTTCCGCCGCAACCGCAAAATGTCATAACTGACTCTAAAAATGCCCGACGTTTGCCAAATAACCACCCGCCGATATGGAATTTTCGAGCATATCTGTGAGGATCACTCGCTAACTCCTGAGGACTGCTGAAGAGAACTGCACATCTTCTTCGTGCATCTTTTCCACCATTTATTTACTCCAGTAAAAAACGGTGAGTCTGTGGGTTACCAGCTCCTCGGCGGTGGCGATAACTGTGTACAAAGAATGTAGGGTCTTCACTGGGGCAGGTAACCACGATATGGAGCCGATTGGAACGGTTAATCGGATTACGGTCTGTCGGGACTTCGTTCTTAACTCCTTGTGTTTAATTAATAGCTCCATGATGTTATCAAAAACAGATAACAAGTACTAAATAACGAACTGGAAAACAATAATGAAGATTCCCGATGTCAGGTGATAGACAGTAACAAAGAAACCGCACTCTAGGTAACGGCGAGAAATAGACACGCTAAAGAAGAAAGCTGTTACAGGATTCATGATCCAGTTGATAAAGAAAAGGCGGGAAATGAATGGAGGAAGCGCCAGAAAGTGTATATGCAGCTGTATAAAGACCACCAGGAAGAGAATGGAAGAGGAAATACAGAGATTCATGCATGCAAACAATCGAGCCAGCTACGCTGACAAACAAAAGCTTCAAACGAGTTAAAAGAACTCGTCTCAGGGAAATCACAAATTATTGCTTTGAAGTCTCGTTGTGGAGTCATATATTACAGAGAAGAGATTATTCCCAGAGTAGAAAAATTCTACAAGAATTTATCCCCAAGCAAGAAACTTAAGGGTCCCAGAAATCAAACCACATGACAAAGATGAAGTTCCAGACACAGCGATCAAAGACATTGTTCACTAAAGCCTTCAAAATTCAAATTCTGTGCAAGTTAGTCCATGCCATTCCAAGTATGAGGCATACACGTCTTCATTTAATAATATGTGAATGTGACTGTCAAGACATATATGCAATATTATGGGGCGTTTTCAGTTGTTATAATGTACTCTATATATGTAAGTCACCAAACTGAGGCCAGGTTTAGTTCTGTTCAGGGTGCTTAACCCTCTGTCAAACATATTAAGGTTAAGGGCAGGAAGCAACAGGATTTGTTGGTCATGCCATATGGTCATGCAGTGTTCTGTTGGGATCGTGTCCCGGAATGTTATGTCTGGTTCAGTATTCCTAAGGCATATTTTCTCGACGTATACTGGGTCACGAGGCCATCAACCTGTGCCCTCGCGAGTATCAAAACACATGTGAGCAATTTTCTTGTAACAGTTGATTTGTAAAAACGGACAAAAGTGTTGTTGAAGGTGGCCATATCAGTCAATGGAATAACATTCAAAGGAACACGTCTCGATTTTCTTCCGTTTGTATCCAATGACAACGATGGCCAGATGTTTCTGATTTACAGCACAAAGACAAGGCAGCAATAAACAGAAATTCTCAAATGACTCCGTGTTTCATTGAGACACCCGAAAACGATTTAAGTATAGTCGACACATTGCGAAGCTACAGCAGATTTCGACCTACGGAATATGAATTCTAAATTTTGGGGATTTTGTTCTAAAATGTCCATGTCACCCATATTGTACAACAATATAGACAGAGAGAACCGCAATGAAGAAAATCGATGAACCGACACGTTCTTTGCTGTTTATAGTGTTCCGTTCGAAACACTTCACAGTCACTTAGCAATCATCGATTCTTCAACGTGTATTGGGGAGAAATGCTCCTGAAATACAATCAGCTGAGGTCACAGTATCGACGGAACAAATCCAAAGTGCTTATGTTATTATCAGGAACAAAAGAACCCCTTCGCGTCCATCATTCAAAATTGATGAAGTGACCTGGGGTGAAGTTTGCACAGAAGTCTTGTCGATGAAAAATACGAGTACATTTGTATTGTGAGTTGGAAAGCCGAAGAGGACACTTCTACAATGAGCGGTGAGGTGGATGATGCACAAGTCATGGCCGAGGAGGAAGAGAAAGAAATCGAGCAATCAGAGCAAAGATCAGAGCAGGCACGTGTGACTTTGGGAGAAGAGATAATAGAGGAAGAACAAGAAGAAGCAGTTCAAAGATTAGTGGAAGAGGAAAGGGTCAGTCAAGCCATGCAAGGAACAAGTAACCAGGCTTTCGAGGAGGTCGGTCGCGATGAGCAACTTCCGAGAGACGGAGCGGACGTCAGCGAGTCCCTCGAGGGGGACCAGCACCTTCAACTCCGTAGGAAGTCCACCCTCAGCGGGTCGGTAGAAAGCATGTTGGAAAAATCTGGCATGATGGAACATGCAGAAAAGTTGGAGTCGAATGGATATGACAGCATGCAGACACTACGTCTTGCCAACAAGGAAGACCTCATGGCAAGCGGGTTGAGGCGAGGCCACGCCAGCCTCGTGGTTCATCTTACGGCAGGACGACTTGAAAGATTGAAGAGGGAGAAAAAAGAGTAAGTTCTGTGTACGAATGGGACGAATCACGCCAACACTGACATTTTCTTTCTGGCTCTGTCGATGTGTTGGCCTGGATGGCGTGTATTGCACCATTAATGCGATGAATATATTAACGACAACCTATTTCCCGCTCCGAGATCTTTCACATTGCATTTTTGCAGAAATTTCCATGGAACCCTGTCAGAAGTTGCGGATGTCTTGTCATTTACAACCGCCGGAACACACTAAGTTTTAAAACAATACATCATAATATAATTTTACGGCTTTGATGTGCCGTTCTTCGGTTGCTGTAAGTCAAAGAACTATGACCTTCTTCACCTGCAGTTAACCAAGAGAAATCAGCCATTATTATTTCTAGGTGTGGAGCCTTGATAAGGATCCCGATTTTTCTCCTTGAAACAAATTCGATTTAAACGGCAGATTCATCTCTCCCAAATCCGTATAGGTAACTATGAATGACTGGTTCGAACAAGGGACTGCTTTAATTACAACATTGCTAAATTTATGCATAAAAATGGAAACAAACGGATGTAAATTTGAATTGTCAGAAAATTTAAAACAGCACTTTCCGTGGTTTGAAATATAAAATCTACGTGTGAACTGTTTTGTTATAAACCAATATGAGTCAAAAAAATAAACCTAGCCGATAGAAGCATACCGGGGACAAAATCATATAGAAGCATACCGGTTGGCGCTTACAGAAGACATTCATCGGTCAGACGTCAACATCTGATAAACCGTTTTATGCGATAATGTCAAATCATGACTGGTTTAGGCCACGAACTAAGGGTAGTTTTATTATTACGACCCGGAAGTACAGTTATGCTGCAATTCAAGGTGCACATCAGTCTGTGGAAATGAACCAATCTTTAAGGTAGGAAAAATCAGTCAGAAGAAATGTCTGGGATTTTTCTTTTTATTCTTACAGTAACAACAGTTTCGCTTGTGTAAGTCGACGACACCTAAATGCACAGAGCTACAGCAAAATATGGAAAGAAATTCCTTGGCTTTGTGCCAACTTGGTTCCGCCGTACAGTTGCATACTAATACAAAATTTTTATGTGGCATATGTCAGTATTAACATATTTGAGTAACATTTGCACGCTTCATGCGAGGCGGAGTCTTACCATTTCAAGGTGAGTACAAGTTTCAAAAGCCAACTTCATCATATGCTAGAGATATGGCAATTTTAAAAAAGTGAAAGGCAGAACGCACGTCACCGATAACGGTGTTTGTGACAGCCCTTACGTAAGTCGTGGTTAAAATTCTTCAAAACTCTCCAAAGCTTCATTAACAACCAAAAAAAAATTTTTTTTTAAAGTCACCACTTCAGATTTCTTTAATTGGAAATTTTGGTCGAGCATTCGCTTCAGAAAACTAAAATGCTCATTTTGCCCCACTGGACTCATTACCTGCAAACGTTTAAGGTTCCATATGGGCCAAGTCACAGGTTTTCAGGTTCCCAGGGATGTCGGTACAAAAAGAACACTGCCTTACCCTCCAGTCGTCTTGCATTGAACACCTAAAAGGTGGTATACAATCGATAGTCTTGAATAGTCCAGCGGGGGATCTGCAGAGGATAAACAGTAAGTAAACCTGTTAGTCAATAAACTGTGGAAGTTTTCATCGGTCTTGTGATGGTTCTTTTTCTACACGTGATGAACAGTAAGGTTTTATGAGTCATATGCGACTTAATCTATGAACAGGTCAGGTCCCACAGTCGGCATTTTGCGAGGACAACTTATTTGTATGTTCAACTGTGTGCCACGTTAATGCCCTTGATACAACGGTACAAAAGCTCTGGACTTTAAACTGATTTAACATTATCAAAGCTCTTGTGTGTTGACAAGCCACGCGTTGGTCCAAAAGTATAAAGTAAGGACTATTACTTCTAAGGTTATTGATTAGATTTGTGTACGGCACATGTTCAACTTGCTTCGATACACTACACCTGTGTTAGAAGTGCTTTTACCCCGCCTTTCCTGGTATTGTTTGCGTTTCTCGCAGAGGAGGGGAATTCGGTGAAGATATTCAAACGGAAGACTTTTCGAACGAGGAAGAAGATATGGACAAAGAAAAGAAGGTATAGAAATGGAGATTTATTTTGCACATGGCGTGCATGCTTTCGCGGTACCTCCAACTGAAGAAAGTGCTGCACTTTCAGTCCACATATAGGGCCTACCGGTACGTCGTGTGTGCGGCGGAGGGGGGGGGGGCGAAGCGGGCACTTGTTCACTGCGGAAAAAGGGAAAAGGCTAAAAAAAAACTAAAAAGAGACATAAATGCGAAAGATATAACAAAAAGGTGAAAGGGGATGAAAATCACAAGCTTACTTTTACAAAATCGAAGGTGGCCCCTTCCAGTGGTTCATTAATGATTGCTTTGCTCCCCCCCCTTCCAAAATTTTTCCCTGGGAAAAATTGCTTTACCCCTGACCTACACACATCAGTAAACACGTAACATTATTTGTTTGGTCTGCTCCAGTGTTTTTTTTTGGTTTGAGAAAAAATGTCAAAGGCAAGGCGCTAACTTATTGGTATTTTAATCATGAACAACTTAGATGTGTTTAGAAAACTTGAGATGCTCACATGAATGGCATGCTCATAACATCAGCCTTTTTGTGTTTCAATGCACAGCTGAGTGGAAATGGCTATGAGGTCATCGCAGTTGACACTGTGACCACCACTAACCCAGTAATTGAGAGAGGTAACTGGGGTCGTCAGCTGGATTATATTCTGTCCTGTGTGGGCTATGCTGTTGGACTAGGCAATATCTGGCGCTTCCCCTATCTCTGCTACAGACACGGTGGAGGTCAGTTGAAACTTTTCGGTGGTTTCCCTTTTTTCTATTCATTAAACCATCATGAAAGCTCCATAAGCCTGGACAAGGGAGTAAGCTTCTGCACTTAGTTGCAAGAAACAGGTAAAGATGATAATTTCTGTAAAGGTTTGTTGTCAATATCAACAAAACACTGTAACAAGTTATCAATGATTCCAGCATATGAAGGAAAAAGTTGCAGGAAATGACCTTGGTTTTACCCTCCTGTGATTTTTTAGGAGTGTTTCTGATCCCTTACATCATCATGCTCTTTTTGGCTGGGATGCCCCTATTCTTCCTGGAGACAGCCTTTGGCCAGTATGCTAGCCAAGGCCCAGTCACTATCTGGAGAGCATGTCCACTCTTTGCAGGTATGCCAAGCAAATTTTTCCTCTTATTTTGTGAATCTTCTGATGTGGCAATATGTACACTGTCAAAATAGTAGATTGTTCATAAAAGTGTATATGTTCATATGTGTATATTAATTACTGGATAGCACCTTGTGTCAGACATTTTGCATATTTTGTCTGTAGTCAACTGTCAATCAGCTTTAACAAATTCAAAACGATGGAAGACCTTTAGTTCTTCAGTAAAGAATTTTGGCACTGACTTTTAACCCCCAAAGGTTCAGCCTTTCTCCTCATAAAAGGGTTAAAAACTGCATGTGACTTCATTCTAGGATCCTCAAGCATACATCAGCATACTAATAAATGTCTCTCAGTAAAATGAATATAAGGGCAATAATTCTTATTACGGCTACACGTATGAGCAAATACTGCCTGTTTGCCAAGTTATGCATGTGTCAAAATACACAAGGACTGGCCAAATCTGTACATCTCCTTCATTGGAAATAAAGATGGACTGGAAAATAATTTCCTTTGATGGAAATGCTTTGGTGGGAGTGTCCAATATTTTTAGTGATTCAGAAAGTACAAGTCACAGTGAGACCCAGGAAATGAAGTTAATGTTTCTCTGTCTGACTTCATGAGTGTTTCTTGACAAGCAGGAACTCAGGGCTCCTGACAGAGCGAAGAACCAAATTAGTTTGGGATTTCTGCTTTGTCATTGGGAATCAGGCTCTTCCGTGCTTCCTAGTAACACTGACATGGTTTTCAGGCTCACTGATCCCCTTTATCTGTCATTACTTCCAGTTTTGATCGTCGTGCAGCTGGCCATTCATTTTTTATTTTTTTATTTGGTTATCACGAATTAACATTAAACAAAGCAGTTTCACACTCTGCTTGCAACTTAATTAAGCAAAATGTGATCCAAAGGAAGCAAACTAAACTAATAAACTCAAATAAACAGTTAACATTAACAACTTTTGATATTAACCTGTGCAGTTTCACGTTCTGATTGAAAAGAATAAAAGGATTTAAAATATGCATATTATTAAGGAAGGATTTAAGGAAATAAAGAACTTGTAAAATTAAAAATCACTGTACAAGAGATATTAAAAAAATAATAAGACTTGAGGAAAGTGAAACATTTTACCATGCAAATTATACATTTCGGAAATTGCATAGTACTTATTTGACAACACTGACCAGAATTCCAATTTCGAGTAAGCACAATAGAATGACACAAAATTAAAGACGCAGGCTACTTCTACAAATTATTCACGCCAAATGAATCTATTGTAGGCTTGCATTTCATACATTACGACCTTCATTTCACTGAAATGAAATGAGCTGCAATTCCATATGGCTTTCCTTTTAAAAATTCACGATTTTTTTCTCTCAGTACTGAATTTTCCCTTTGTATGCACACTTGATTTAGCATTATGTAGGGCTTTCATTGGCATCCAAACAATTATGAATGCAATCCTTTATGTGTGGACAATGCATAACTCATCGGGGGATTGAAAAAATATAACATCATTTCTGGTAAATTTACTGAGATGAATAGGTTGTCTAAAGATATTATTACTTGCAAAAGTGTTTTGGGATTTTTCAGTTTAGAAAACATTTTAAATATTTTAAAGATGTGTAAAAAATGAAAGTGCTCTACTGATTATCAAAGATATCATAATTGTTTTTTATGTGTTTAATAAGCACTTTGTTGGACGGAGGAAGAAATGTTCTAGCTGTATTTCACTTTCCCTTCAATTATACTATGTTACATACATCTGTCACCTTGCATTATCTGCCTGTGTTTAACAGTGCAGAAACTTGCAATAAAAATGCTTCTTCTGTATATTAGAGAAACTAGGAGTAATTTGAACCTTTGGTTAGCTGGCAGCTTCGCCGGTGTTTCATTTGAAATGCCTTTTGGCCAGTAGTACAATTTGATATATTCGTACACTTTTTGTTTGTTTGAAGGAAAATTATAAAGGGCAAAATGAGGATACCTGTGCTTGTATATTGATTACATTTTCCAAATTTAGCAGAGAATAGGGCTGAACATAAAAGGCCAAGGGAAATGGAATTTATTGACTGAAATTCTTTATGAAAAAAAAAAGGAATTCACATACTAAATTAAACTCTATTGTACAAAACACATGTACATAGTACAATTTAAAGCTTTACACATTTCGCCAATAGCATGTTCTGCCATTTCTATTTTAATCTACTGCATGACACACATCATAGAAAGCAACACTTTTAAACTAGTTGAATGAATAAAACTTTACAGCAGAATTACAGATGGTTTGATAAGGAAAATGGATATTGTTGAGACTGAATACCATTCACTGTAGTAGCCACAGATGCACTGAATTTGAAGCAGCGTCCACAGAAATGCACACTGTGTTGAACCAGAAGGAGCGTGTGTAAAAGATTGACACATTTCCTAAAGTTTGATTATGATAGCCCGGATTAAAAAGGTCAACAACAGACAAAAGGGAGCGTGGAGAAAAACCAGTATGATTTCACAAAACTGTTTTCAACTTTTAGAGTTCAAAGTGTGGGTTTGTGTGACAATCAAAGAGCTGAGGATTTGTAAGTCTGCTCTTTTTATTAATTGTGAGATGTATCGCTAAGTGCACTCATTCAAATGTTATATTAGAACAGAGGAAGAGGGGTGGGCATTTTTAGGTGTTTGTCGAATCCTGGTTGTATTAATTTATTGTAACAGAAATATGCAAAGGAGTTTGACAGGGCCAGTGTTTGATCCACTGGCCTTCTGTGAACAAACATCAATATGTCTGGCAACAAAAAGTGTGGCTGGTGCTGTACCCTACACTGTATAGAGTACCAATCAATCTACTCACTTGTTGCCTGGGTTATTATACAAGGATTGGTACAAGGTATTACATGGTATTATACAAGGCATGGGTGCTTTATAGATTTTCCCCTGCAATGTATTTCAATTTGTGATCAAATTTCCTTTTATAGGTTTCCATTTTACAAGTGACATTGTCACAATTTAAGTGATCAAAAAGTTGATCCTCACTGACAAAATTGAATGGAGCAGTTGTGAGGCTAGCGTTTGGGTATCAATGCACTCACCAGGTATTGGCTGGGCTATGGTCATCATATCAGCCATGGTGGTCATCTACTACAACATCATCATGGCTTGGACTGCGTTCTTCATCTTCAAGTCTTTCACTCTGGAGCTACCCTGGCAACACTGCAACAACACATGGAACACGGACGACTGTGGGTATGCCTCACCACCCAATGGTACCATGTTTAATGGGACCTGGTTGAACCAAACCATGGCAGAGATGATGAATATAAGTGTGCCGAAGGCAGTCACACCAGCCGAGGAATACTGGAAGTAAGCAACAACATGCACTTTAATCAGATTAGATCAGAATTACAGCAGTTATATATAGATTAACTTAGTCTGAAACAAGCGTCCACAATTCCACATCATCTTCAAGTTGTCATACATTTTTTGCTTTGATGTCCACTGAAGAAGAATGGAATCACAAACTCCAAATTTGCAAGAGTATGTTAATGGCATATGCTTGAGTTTCAGGGAAAAAACAATGAATTGATGTTCTTTGTAGATCCCAACAAAAATCTCATGAAGTACCATACACTACTTGCCCATCTTTACATGTGGCATTATTTGAAATTAAACGTGCAGTGGTTATCACCACAGAAACTCAGTAGAATTTGTTATTGTGTATGAAATTCTTAATCTCAACTGCAAAATTTCTCCACCAAGACCAGTAAACATAAAAGTATGGGAGTGTCAAGATCAGGAACAGTCCACCTGGTTGTGTGAGTTTGGTGGGGAGTCAATTTAGTACACGGCTGCATTTATCAATGTGGGCTGAGTAAAAGGTTTAAAATGAGCAAGTGGGTGGGTTATTTTATTCAGATGCCATAATTACCAGAGACCAGCTGCGAATGTCTAGAATGGGTTTGGAAATTCTACGCTACGTCAGTGGCAGCTGTTTGTTGAATCTCTAAATTGATTGATGGAATTATTAAATCTTTTTGACATTTGAAATTCTATTATTTTATTTTCATTGAAGAGAACAAGCACCCAATTCAATCAAACCTTTGATGTTCTTGCTAATTTTGAGTGATATGTTGGAGGATGGATGATAACAAAATTTATTTGGTAAACATGACAATTTACAGTGAGACTCTACAGGACTCTCAAAACCTTTTTGTATCGTTGCATATATATCATTGTGTCCATGAAAACGGAATACTGCTGAGGCCATAAATAAATGCTGTTTTCAATTGTTAATTGTGAAGACAGTTAATCGGAATAGCCATTACAGCCAATGTCTAGTCATGCATCCTTTGCCACTGCACTTTTTTAATGGCTGTCTAGTTTCACAATTCATACATAACGGGTGGATTCACTCTGCAGTAAAATTGTGTTGGACAAAAGTGACGGAATTGAAAACTTGGGACCAGTCCGGTGGCAGATGGCACTCTGTCTCCTCCTATCCTGGGTTGTTGTCTTCCTATGCATCTGCAGAGGTGTCAAGTCTTCAGGAAAGGTACTAAAGGTTACATCTTAATATCTGTCCTCACTTAACATGCTACACACCATAATTGTTGCACTAGACCTTTGAGTTATGTACAAGTCAAAGACACTCACAGCAAGCAGAAACTTTGACATTAAGAAACTCAATAGACTGAGTTATCTGCAAGTAAATCCAAACAAAAACCACTTAATCTTTTGGTGTATTGATGTTAGTTGCCTGTGAGGCAGTGTACAAGCCCTAAATGCTGCACCAAATATTTATTCTATGGCAAATTTGTCACAGAATTAATTGGAACTGGGCATCACGTTATCTGAATATTATATTTAAAACAAGTTTGTTACTTGGCACTGTATGCTTATGAGACACATTTAAAAACTTGGTCATGCTATATTTAGATGCTTCATTTGGACCAAAGCATCATTTCTATCAAACAGCTCTCTTACGGTATCCTAAACAAAAGATTTTTATCAAGAACCAGTCATGGTACCTTGAATTTAAAAACTCTGAATGAGTTGGGAATATTGAAATCATTCCGATGTAGTACATGAAGATGGTTCTCAGCCTGATTACCGGCAAGAGGCCAACAAATATTTTGTGAATTGTATCCAAAGGATTTATTGATTGCATCCAAACGATAACAACACAGGGGTAAGAGACAAAAAATCACATCTCTTCACTAAATTCTTCACTCCAGAATCTCCAGAATTGATATTCCAATTGTTATTTGAATTCGTTTTTTTTCAGAAGATGGGCACTGTAAGCATTCTGTACTTACACATACATTTGGTTGTGTGTGTGTTGGTGACCTTCTCCGAATCAGTTTTGGATGTTTTCTGCTTAAGAATTGTCACAATTACTGTCATTTTACAGGATTTTGTAGTAATTCCAAATGTAATACAAACCGAGTGAATTAAAATGTGACGAACTGAAACAAAATGAAACGGTAAAAACTGTGTAATCTCCGTTGTACGCTTCGGGAACAAAATGTAAACAGAATTTCAAGTCAAGTCCAAATGTGCCACAGAACACAGAAGTAATTACTCTGCACACTGCGCATCTCTCTCTCCAGACTTAACCTTCTAACACAGTATACTTAATGCAAGTCTTACAGCCACTCTTTCAAACATCACAGTAAGAAAAACATTGGGTATCCTTATTCCCCTTCGCCACCATCCCACTCTTCTGAGTGGTTTAGGGATACCTGAACTTTTTTCAGGATAGGAATTAAATTTCAAATGAACTGATAAGTTGGGTTTTAAAAATGCCCCATATAATGGTGCTACTCAACTTACGCAGCTGAAAACACATTGATTTGTGGGCACATACACCATACACACGTGTACATGACATTGTTTGCACTTACAATTTTGTCCTGTGAATAACACACAGATAATCATGACTACATGTTGAAAGCAAGTTGACTTTTTATAACAATGAAAGGATGTTTATCATGCATGTAACAATTCATCTCAATATATGTACACCTCATTTGTCTGGCAGGAACAGTGGAAGTACTTAGACTTTTCAAATGAAACACTCACAAAAAGGAAATTTTCTATTGAATGCAAATTATTATACCTGTGCCACTCACTGTTGGAAGAGTAATTGTTGCTTAGCAGCTTTTCCAATTTGTTCTTCTTGCTTTTAACAATTAACTCGACTCAGCATTTGTATATTTTGCACACCATGGCTGTGTTTGTTTCTTAGCACACTTTCACAAGGCATGAATTATGTTAACTTGATGCATTTATTAATATACCCAAATTCAAAGGTCGGCTTTTCTTATCACAGACTACACACAATATTTGTTACGCGTAGGTTTTCCAAGTTATCACGTGTATTCTATTTACATAACATGCACTGATTAGTTGCTTGTATAGGTGACAAAGTAAACAAGTACAGAATCCAATCATTAAATATCTCTTTGAGACTCAAGATTAGATTTAGGATCAGACTGAGAACTGAGCAGTAATTGTGCAAGTTCATTTTACAAGTCCAAAAGACAAATTTCATGCTTCCATTTGAATCAAGCAGTGTTATAGAAGTATAAAAAGGACTCTGACCTTTTTTGTCTTTGCTGGGTAACAAGTTTTCAAACCAGAAAAATATTTGTGAAGGGAACAAAACATTCAAATTGATCTCTATCTTTTTTATCGAGAATTATGGATACCATAGCAAGCCCCCCAAAATGTGACCTTTTTTGATACACAGCACAACTGCAATCACCAATGAGCCATGGTCTGATCAAAACAAATGATAATTCACCAAGTAACCGTTGGCAACCCAACCCGATTACAATGGCAATTACAATGCAGGGGAGGTGTAACCAATCGAGCGTTGTTTGAAATGATTTAAGCGGTTCACTGTATTTGAGCGTTACAAGAGTAATTTAATCAACCAGGGGTGAGGCTCACCTGAAACCCAAATTTCATCCTGGCACTGATGGACAACAGCATGCTTATCTTGCTTTTAAGCAAAATACAATTGGCATTAAGACTCGAGCGTACATTGGAAAATATCTTTAAACAGCAAGGGCAGGTTGAAAGTGAAAATTGGGACTCCATTTAAGAGCGAAAAGTCTAGTGGAAGGTGGAATCAAGAAAAATGGAGAGGCAATTTTTGCACTGTGAGTAATTTACTGCAGTGGTGATTGTAAATTGTTGGGAGGAGATGTCACACTGAGGAACAGGGAAAGAGGCAGTGGGGATTGACTGAACAACTACACAAAGAGATGAATGCTACAAATGTCCAAGAACATGGGTGAAGTAAACAAGACTGGACCTATAGTAATGATAGATTGGTAAAAAAAATTATATGCGCCTTAAAAACAGTCTGAATTTGAACTCTTATCAACAGAAGGAGCTCATAATTTATAAGGTGGATCAAGAGTTAATAAGCACATAATTCAGTACTGCACAAGATCTCTGCCAATTCTCGCACTGTTGCAATGAAATGTATCGAGCCTCCAACTGCACTGTGTACACAAAACAATCAGTCAATGGCACAGGAACTAAAGTTCAACTGAATGAGGTGACATTGATTCCAGGTAAAAGGCAAGTGCCTTGCCCTCTTAATTATCAAGCTTCCTTTATGATTCACAGCCTGGGTATTCTTGTCCCTGAGCAATCCATATTGCTGTAAGTCAAGTTTTCTTTCTCATGGTTGGGTAGAGTGGAAGTTTGTTACTTGCTGAGGAGGTGCAAACATAGTTGTCTGTTCAAGTACTAAATGCAGTTATATAGTGAATAAAGAATGGATTGCCAGAATACTTAATGAAATATCCATGTGATAGTTTGATTGGCTATTGGTTCATTGTTTGAGAAAAATTGACAAGATCATTGGTATGTAATATTTCCATTTACCAGAACTCATTATTGATTCACTGTCAGGTTGTGTACTTCACTGCCACTTTCCCTTACATCATCCTTATCTGCTTACTGATCCGCGCATTGACACTGGAGGGTGCCAGTGAAGGAATTGGTTACTACATGAATGCCGACTGGAAGCAGCTCAAAAAGTCCAAGGTGTGACACTAGAAATCAAAAAGAATGATTAGGATTGCTTTATTGACAATTAAGATTGCTTTATTGACAATTATGCCAAATCAGCAATCAAATGTAATAATGCGAAAAACCATGATAAATTCAGAATGGTGCAAGATATCATACTGGAATACATGATCACTTTGTAAACTAAGGACGGTGTGAATATGAGTAGTTTATCTTTAAGCTATGCTGCAAATCTTTAGACTTTAGTTTTAGGAGGTCCGGGAAACAAATTTATCCTCAAAATTAAACAGAACCATTCACCTCTTTAAGCGACAACCAGCTGAGCAGGTGTCATTTGTGTAAAAATAACTGGTCTCCTTTGCTGATAATACATAACTGTGTTTTGCTGATATATTAGCCCCCTTTTTTCAGTATCATTTTCGGTTTCTTTATCAAAGGTATGGAATGATGCTGCCTCACAAATCTTTTATTCTCTGGGCCCAGCTTGGGGAGGTATCCTCACTTTTTCCAGCTACAACAAGTTCAACCACAACTGCTTCAGGTAATGTTCTAATGTTATAAACCTGACCTTGTTTGGTCAAACACCAATTTTGATTTGTTTTCCAGTGGAATGTACATAGAGGGGGCATTTTATTTATTTCTGTATTGATGCATTTTATGAAAACTAAAATTCAGTTTTATTATTTGGAGACTTTAAATTTAAAATGGTGCATCCCCACAAAGAAGAAATTATTTTGGTTTCTTTTTCTAGGGATGCAATCATGGTTCCCATCATCAACTGTAGCACCAGCATCTTTGCCGGATTTGTCGTCTTTGCAACTTTGGGGTTCATGTCAGCCAAAACAGGGATGGACATTGAACATGTGGCCGTCCAAGGTAATCCTATTGACCCTGCTTAGAAGTACTGGTCATTGGTAAGCGTAAATGAATCTGCCTTCAAAATATACTTGTAAGTTCCATTACATTTGGCAAGTCACGTTGCCTGAAAAGTTTCTTTTTCCATAACTGTATACTAGGTCACAATCATCCATGAACCCAGCAATCTTACCTTACCCCAGAAATTATAGCAAAAATGCTACTGGCTCATTTTAAACAATTATACTCAGAGAAGTGCTGAATATTTTTAAGAGTGTAAAGTGCATGCTCTTTACCTGTGCATGCTCTTTAAAAAAGCAGTTAACTGCACATTTCTTTCACAAATACATAGCTAGCCAACACTGAGCAGTTATCTTACAGCTCAACACAGTAGAAAAACTTTTGTTGCCCTGTATTCTGGACAATAGATGTAGGAGGGGCATGCAGGGTTTAACCCTCAAAGAGCCACTTGTTTCGGACAATCTGGGAGGGGGAGTGCATTTTTACTTTTTCCTTGTTTCTCTTTGAAGGAATCTTGTTATTCTTTGATCCATCACACTTCATTCTGACACTTTACAACTCTTAACCAATAACATCAAGTGCGCTGTGCCTTTCTGTTTGTAACAGGCCCAGGTCTGGTATTCGTGACGTACCCAGAGGCTATTGCCCAAATGCCAGCTGCTCCCCTCTGGTCCTTCCTCTTCTTCTTCATGCTCTTCCTTGTTGGATTGGATACACAGGTGGGTCAAATTAGGCTATCACAGAGCAGGAAGTACAAATTATCACTTAGTCGATGAAAGCAGAGCTGCAAGCTCAAAGCACTAACATTACAGATCAGATCATTTCATGGCGTGAATAAAGATAACCGAATATTTGATATTAAAGTTCCCAAATCATAGTATACTTTTAAAGAGTCAATATCAATTACATGAAATGTTAATTCTTTTTTCCTGGAACACAAAAATGAGCAGAACTTGCATAAGAGTTATCCCCTTTGGACGAATCCCCACACACATATTCAATCACTTTTTTCATATTTCACAGTGAGACTTTTTTCATACTTTCACTGCCAAAAAACAGAGCCTGATGATAGAATATTCATTATCACCACATACCGTGCCCCAGGACCATTACTTGTTTTCCTACATATTGTCAGGGCCATGATGACAGACCCAGTGGTTAATTCCAGCACCTTCAGGCATATAAGTAGCAACGTTGACTGGTTATTTGTTTTTCTTACTCACAGTTTGGCATGACAGAAACTGTCATCAGTGGTTTCATTGACCAGTTTCCAGAGCACCTAAGGAAGTGGAAGACTCTCTTTGCGCTCGGTGTCTGCTGCTTGTTCTTCCTCTTGGGTTTACCTCTAGTGACAAGGGTAAGGATGGTTAAAAACATGGATCATCCCAAGATGTATCAATGTACACATTACACATGAACAATACCTCATTATTACCCCCTGGTTATCAAATCTGTAAAGTATGCCTGAAGACGACATACACTTCAACTGCTGTTTTTTACCTTTGAAGGATTTTTGATGCACACTTTCCAGTCGCATATTTTTGTTGTTTCTCTGACACAATGTTTAACTTTTCAAAAGTGAAAGGAAACAGAATTTAAAATTTTTGACCAGCAGTGTTGAATGTCCATTCAGTGCTACCACAGTTTATTATACAATCAGTGCAAAACATATTCACTCACAATTATCTGGTTTGAATTTTTCCCAAGGGTGGTATCTATGTATTTGAGTTGATCAACTGGTATAGCGCCTGGATATCCCTGATGATTGTTGGAATGACAGAGTGCTTTGCTATAGCTTATTTCTATGGTGAGTTTTGTATACTCTACTGTAAAAATATGCTGATATCGCTAGGATGTTTGATGTAGTTTCTGTTCAGTGTAGGCATTGATTCTCTTTGTATTAGTATTATCTGATACCTGTCAGTAGACTTTTGTCTTAAATAGGCAAATGACACTTTCACTCTGTAATGTGTGATTGTGTTATGCTAAAGCCATGCACAGCTGATTGCCTTGCTGTGGTGGTAACTTGCCTCTTCTCTGGTTGGTTACATTGTAGGTTTCCGGCGGTTCATCTCAGACATCAAGAAGATGCTAGGATATGAGACGGTGGTATGGTGGTGGTACTGCATCTGCTGGCTTTTTGTGACACCAGCAGTAATCCTTGTAAGCGGGAAAATTGGGGAAGGAAAAATGACCATGATGTCAGCTTCACAGCAATTTTGGCAATGCACATCATGTCTGTGCCGTGACAAACCGTTTAACACAACAGGTGGTCAAAATACTCAAGATATGTCCATCAGTGATCAACATACTTAAAGGATCCAGGATATGAATTTTTCTTAGAATCACTTTTTGTGTATCTCTGTACTCTTCTTCCATGCATGAAGACTGTTTGACATCTTTTTTGAGTTACGTGAACTGAACGGTGCAAACATTAAAAATTGACCAAGCATTTCTGGACAAGTGAGGGTGCTTTTGCTTTGATGTAAATCCAGGAAGACCAGGTTCAGGTTGCATGTTTTCATGTTCAAATTGTGAACCCCAAATTTGCTATCTGGATTATTGCCATATACTTACCCAGCAATAAATTGCCAAAGAAAATGAAATTTGCCATAGCAGTGGTTAAAAAAATTTGGAAATTTTCTGTGCACAAATCAGTGCAACATTGAGATTCAGTGCCTTGGATGACATCGTAGTTCTGCTCATGAATATGCCAATATACATTGGCATAAAAACCAAAAAAAGTATAAAAATGTGGGTTAAGATTGCAAAACAAACATTTAAAATGAGGTTAATTGAAATCCAAAGATACAATTTCAAGGGTTTTGAGTAAAATTTATAAAAATATTTCTATCTCCTGGTTCCTTTGAGTCCACAATATCACTCAACACAGATCAGTGTCAGTGAACAGTTTCACGGACAAAAGTGTTTGAAATTTCAGGGGTTATTTCTGAAAACGTCGCATATTTTCATTTGTCATCTCCTTATAAATTATGTGCTTTCCTAATTTCTATGATGGGAAATTCCTTTCAAATAATTGTTGGCTTGCCAAGGCAGGCAGAATCTAAAGAGGGTACATGTACATGTATTTTCAGTATGGATCAGACACTCACATTGGAGGTGGTGAACTATAGTCAAACACATTGTAAGATTATAGTTTTAAAGATAACTGACAAGACAAGATCAGGCGGAAGTTTGAACATAGATGAGCACCAGACATTATTTCAATCGTGTTGTGAAATATCAACGCTTAGCTCAATTTCACAGAACTGAGCATAATGTAAGACAGCATGTGAATAAATGCAACAAATTTGCCAAGGAAAGACTACAAGCAATTATCAAGCAACTATGGTTGAAGACACTCTTTGATCAAGTTTTGAGCAATCAACTTATTGCAGTCACTATATTTGATTATGTATAATATGTTTTCATGCAGTTCATCATAGGATTTGGTATCTACCAGTACGTGCCAGTGTACTACGGTGACTCCTACTACCCACCTTGGAGTGAAGCTTTAGGCTGGGTCATGGCATTAATTGCCCCATTGATGATCCCCATCTTCATGGTGGTAAACTTCCTTCGATCCGAGGGTAACACCATTTTAGAGGTACGTTCTACATTTCATTTTACAGCATGGGGGCTGTCCAGATGTCATTTGGACATCCTAGCTCTTTCAAATCTAAACAAATTATAAGGGAAAAAACATCAAAATTGGGGGGGGGGTTGAGATGGAGCCTTGGGTAAAGCAGGACCCACTGATATCCTAAAAGTGGCACACTGGTAATCTCTAGGCATCCTGTGAAAATGTCAAGTAAGGGGAAATATGCTGTATGTTCTAGGTCATTTTATCGTGTTTTTACAGGAGGGTAAAATTGAAGTCAAGTGTTTGTCCTTTAGTTTTCAAAATGGGAGGGGAGAGCAGTTAGGAGACCATCAAGCATCATCCATGAATAGGCCAATCCATTAAGCCCCACCCTATTATAGGACCTGCAAAAACAGTAGTGTTGTAATTGAGAAACTAATGGGCTAAAATGGAACACACTGTGGTGGGGAAACATCAACCCTGTTTCCTATGGCAGATAGTGTGTACAAGCAAGTAGGTAGAAAAAAAAAAGAAATAGGTTGAAGGTTTTTATTTCATCATTTAAAAACTGTTGAGAGCTCGTGTCCCTACATTGATCCACCTGCTATGACCCCAGTAAAAATTACAAAAACAATTGTCTTTAGAATTTTAATGATAAATAATGTGTTGGTTACAAAACTAACACTTCTTACTTTCAGTAATTGCATGCATATCATGGTTCATTGAATGTTAAATATTATATACATGTATTTTGGCACACAAAATGTGTGATATGCTAACAGTTTTACACTTCTTTCTTTCAGTAAAGAAGAGAAAATTGTGTAGAACATTATGGGGTCATTACCCCATAAAAAGAGTCCTTCTTACCCTACACTTGGGGTAAAACAGACCTGTGATGTAAAAATCTTCATTTGCTTGTTACCTGTACCATGGCAATATTTTTGAACATCTGTGGTACTGTGCCACAATACAGCAAATACAGCAAAAAGTTATTTTCAACATTATGGATTTTTACAGTTCGCCCATTCTTGTCGGCTTGAGTTTTGGGTCACTGTGATTTAGCGGTTCTTGTCACTCGTGCTGGAATCCTGTCTTGTTTGGTTTGCAGAAGCTGCGCAACGTCATCCGCCCAACCAAGGAATGGGACCTGGCCCACGACCACAGCCCAGAGAACAGCCAAGTCGATGTACCCATGACCCAGTGCAAGATGGCTACTAGTATGAATGGGAACAAACCAGGACAGGCTGTATAAAATTTCACATGGGATCCACGTCCGACTGGCCTGACCCACAGAGGGCGCTATTCCACATTGTATGTGAATATTCCTGGAATGGTCATAAGCTGTAAATAAGCCAGGCTGTTATGTTGAAAGCATGTGCATAAGTGCATATTAGCATGTTTTATTGTGTTTCCAATTCAGTTGACTCAAAGATGTCAATGGTGGTTTTAATTTTATCATTTATCATGCAACATCTACATGTACTAGCTTAATTTATCAGTATTAGCATCTTAGAAATACATGTATACTTTGCCAGTTATCTTTTACGTTTTTTTGCTGTACAGCATATTATTTAACAATTCATAACAGCAGAGAGTATAAAGCAGGGACAAAACAGACAATTCCTCTTCACACTTACTTTTTATCCTGGCAATCATAGCAAATAACCGTCAAAATTAATCCAAAATAGAATTCAGTTTACCTGGGAGAACACTCAGAAAGTCTGGAAAAGGAACTTTTGGAATTCCATTGTTATATGGTCATATTTCACAACTGTTATCAGTTGTAAACTGTTTTTAACCATCACAAAGCATCACACAACAAACATCAGTGCTGACCTCAATTTCATGGAGCTGAGCAGTATGCAAGACAGAGCATGCTAGCAGCTAAAACAAATTTGTCAAGCACAGACCAGAAGTTTTCAAGCAACTATAGTTGAAAACACTCTTTGATCAAGTTCTGTGCAATCAAAATAAAACTGTTTCTTTCTATTTGTACTTGACAAACTGTAAGAATTGTCCAATGGTTAGGCAAAAAGTTTTATTTCTCAATGTAATGGAAAAACTCCTATTTCTTCTTTGCAAAGGTACATGTACATGTACTTCCATTCTGAAGAAATTACATGTCATATCTTGATATATTTCAAAAGGTCCCAAGGCTAGAAAAATAGAGCTGATCTTGCCATCAGTAAGGTCTATGTGCTCCATTACTGCGAGCATTGAGAATACATGAATTTAAAAATGTTGTTGCTGAGTATGCAACAGCAGTCAACATTGGCAACATTTTCGTGAGTAAAAACGTGTTGTCTCATGATGTAAATATGTACTTGGTGGTGTTATCTTTTAGACAAAAGAACCACTTTTTGGAGGCATACATTACCTTTAAGCTGATATTGAAATACTTCAGTTTTAGACATAAAATAAAAAGGAATATAAAACATAACATTCAGAGAAAAAAAAAGCAATAGTTTTGAAGTGTATGTGTTTATGTAAATGTATTCTACATATATGTACCGGTAGACAGAAAAAGTTTTAAAAGGTGATTAGGAAAACCACAAGTATATGGACAATTAGGCTATTCAATTAATGTCATTAAAATATGCAAGTGTTCATGTGTGGAGACTGTTAGAGCACTACAATTAATTTTACGTGTAGTAGGGTGGAACTTTAGAAAACTGTTGTTAAAAATTTGTCCAAGTTACAGAGTTTGGTGAAGGGTTTTATTGGAATGAGGAGTTTTGTGGAGTTAAACACATAGCAGAAAGGGGAATGGGACAAACTGAAGAACACGCATTAAAACGGGTACATGGATAATTTTCAGGTATTTCCTCTTTTGCACATAATGAATGCATGACTATATATTTAATAATTGGAGCATATTTGGAATGTTAAGAAGAAGTAAATTTGTCTACTTGGGGATATGCAGAAATCAGTTAACGTACCAACTCCATACACAATCATTTCCACTCCCGCAAGTAATCACTCCCACACGTTATACCTGGATTACAATTTAATAATCAGTGGATGCATGTATATGAGCATCAGTTCGAGTGTAAGTTACATGTATATATCTGAAGTCAATTGTAAGTTACTGACACAAATACTGAAAACCAATTGCGACCTGATTACCTTAATAAATATGGTAGCAAGTAAATACTTCCAGAATTGAAATATGCCACAAGCATTTTACATTCATCACAGAAACTGGTCAGGATTGGGTTTGACTGTTTCTTAGAAATTGATGTTGAATGTGTAGAAATAGTACATGTACATTCAAACTTGGTTAATAAGAGGCTTTTCAGACTTGGCAAATTACCTTGTTGTAATAGAAACCTTGTATTATTACGAATAAAAATAATGAAAAACAAAAGATTGGGACGTAACAATTTCCTTGTTATAAGCAGAATCTTGTATTAACAGTGCTCTTATTAACGAGGTTCGACTGTACATGTAAGTTATTGTGATTGCACATTTTCCCCCCAACTGTATAACATGGTATCGCATTAGGAAGAAGTTTTGAGGCAACTTTCCATGAAGCTTGATATATGAACAAAGTTCACTATATATTGCTGACTGGATATTAGGATGAGGGGGCACTGTGGAATGCATTCCTGTGATGCTATCAAGGGAACACACTAGCTCAGTGCCATTCCCAGTTTAAGAACAAAACATAATGTAAAAGGACGAAAAATTAAGCATGCCATGCACAAACCTTTTGGGGTCATACATGAACACCATTGACTGGGACACCTGCAGCCAGAATTAAAAATAGATGGCTCTTTTGTTACTAAAGCATCATTAATGTTACTCTGTATGAGAATTCAGCACATTGCCTCATGTGAAGAGGGTTCTTTTTTGTGTGCTCACTGAAGTTACTATGCTTACATGTATATGTATCACACACTCACATAGCGTGCCCTTTACTTGTTCTTATGCGGAGCAAAGAGTGCCATCCATCATTCACACATCCAGCTCATAAGGTGTTCCCTCTTTGTCATTACTGCTGGCATTACTAAAAAGGGCATTTGAAAATTTTGCCGTAAAATAGTGCTACTATCATCAAAGAGGTGATGGATAAATCTCACCATTGTACCAAACAAAAACCATCCATTCCCAAGGTAGAAAACTCATGAGCACTGCCCTTCATTTCAATGGTTAACAGCCATTGGATTGTACTGGAAGGAAACACTCTAAATAAAGAAAAAAAATTTTTTTCTATGTAGTACCTGTAATCGAGTGTTTAAGGATGGTGTACACTTATCCAATACATCTGCATTACACTGTGTAGATGATTAAAAATTGTTCGGTGTAAACATCGGTAGATTGTAACACAGTTTGAAGCACAAACGATTCAGCCAGATCAGCAAAGCTATAAAGAATAGACTGTAGAAAAAGGGTGTATGAGAGATTTGTGACTATCAAGAATGTAAGCATTTCTTGTTGGTATTTATCAGTGTGATGCAAGACAAGTCTATATTATTTGAAAACACAAAGTAAAAATGGTTTAGGTAAGCTGCATTAAGGGATAAAATAAGTAAACAGACTGAAACACTCGTTTGTTTGTGTCTCATTTTATTTCAAAGATGATTGGTCTTTTGCTTTTACATAAAATAACAATGAATCTTACCGTATTTAGTAATTAAAAGATCTATCTGGCTAGTTCTAGGAACACTATCTGGCTAGTTCCAGGAACACTACTCACAAGGAAAGTTTATCAATCAAGATCTACTGATTTTGTAGATTGGTCAACATGTGCACTTAATGTCCCCCGTTGTGAAATAATGCATGATTTCCTGTGTCACAAAATGAAGTGCAAATTTCTACAAGATATCACATTTGTACTTGTTTTGTGCACTGGAACCGATTTGTATTTATTCTATTGAACACACAGATTTCACATCTGACAACTGAATTTTACATCTAACCCAGTTGTAACATAACTGACAGCCCGACTTAAAAAACTACAAAACATTTATTGAAACAAACTGGGAATGTATTCTCTGTACAGATAAAAACAAGATACACAAACTCTATTAAATTGTTGCTAAGCTTACACGTGTATATATATATAATGAAGACACACGATAGCAATCTTGGAAAGGCTGGTGCTTGAGAACTGTGCTCATAGTGATCAGCAGTTTGCTTTCGAGGAATGTGACTAAAAACTACATATGAAAAGGTTATATCCTCTGAGGTTTTTATATATTACCAAGAGTGACCTTAACTAAAACGATCCACATGTGGCCAACATCAATAACCTTTGATTTTCAATTCATCACAATGGAGAAAATAAGCTTAAGAACCATATCACGACAAAGTAAAGAGCCACAAGGTTATGTACATAAAACACCCTAATAAGTGTGAACACTGCAACATGAGGCATACTTTATCACTTGTCCTACTTTAATCCTATATGTGTAAACTGCTCACTTTTCACCTGTTAATGGCAAAATGTGATTTCAATACACAGACATAAACTCAAAATGTTATTATACATTGTAAACGAGCATGTAATACTAATTACAATGCATGTAGCAAAAAAATAAATTAAAAAAAAAAGATTTCCGTAATTTCTGCAAACAGAATATGATGAAATTCTAATGAAAATAAAAAAATGTTATACATCAAGGATTTCACCATATCACCAAGGTAACAACCTTTTAAGAGTTGACTGACAATACACAAGAAAAGATTGTCCAAGCAAGAAAGACAGCAAAACAACTTGCATCTTAACAGATGGACATTAAAGCAAGCAAGCATTTACAGTAAAGCAAGCAAAATGTACAACAATGCATGTATTAGGGACGGCTATCTGTGCATTTTAACCATTGGCAAAAGTCCAAAGGCATGACCACCAATTGGTTAAAGTTGAGTGGCTCAAACTGCGAAGTCCATAGCTAACACACATCTTTAACTTCTGGGTAAACCAAGAGCCACATCAATGCACATTCTGATTGTCAATTTCTTCATCGATGGCAGGACGGTATCAAAAAATTTGATCTCTTAGGAACTCACCAACCATCCAGATGCCCTCAAGAGGACTCATGAAATTATTGCATCTGTACAACAGCATACATGTATTAGTAGACTTCATGACTTGATCTTTTAAAGCAAACTGAGATTCATAGTTACTTTGATAGTTTCATTTGAAATTGAAGTAAAATTGGAATTATTCTTCTTTAAAAGTGGATGTTCTTTTGAGAGGTCCAAAGAGAAGAGTCAGCATTCTGACTTGCACACACCATGTCATTAGACAAGCCCAAGCATGTGCTTTCTTCCTGGAATAACAAAATGATTTCATATGGTTTGAAAATAATTTCACAGAACACAAAGTGTCACGATTCTACAATAAACCACACCAGGAACTATGCTGTTGGTCAAACACAACACAACATGGTGCATGAATTAGTAAGCCTGAGAGTCAAGGGCTGGCCTGTGTAATACACAGAACCAAGCCAGGTCTTAGTTGCTGTGGTTTGCCATCGATGTATCGGGGGACGGTAGGCCTGCAAGGCTGTGGACTCCAAGATGAATGTTGATTATCAATCATCTCAAAGTCACAGAATATGCCTGTTTCCAGAACATAACTTCAACAATTACAACTATGTACAAGTACCAAAAACACGCACAAAACCAACGTAACATTTCTTTACAAAAGGCCATTAAAAAAAACTCGACATGTTAAGGTAGTATATTTTAAACTTGAAGAAGTAATTTTGAGAACCATGCACAATAAAGACTGATCCACAATTTTGAGAGGAAAGTATCAGTTTGCAAACTGGAATATTCTTTTTTAATGGCCTCAGACTAGAAAGCACTACCATTCCTCTATTGGGGGTTTAGCTAGTCTAGACACTGCATGGCTTTTTTTAACCAAACAAGCAAAACACAGCAGAAATTGGTCTAAAATTAAAACAGAAGCTGTTCTAGAACACAGCTTGATATGATAAGGACAGCTCCACATGTTACAGTGTTAAGAACATCATTACATACATGTACATGAATTTTTTTACAATGAAAATAACGAAAAGCTGGAAATTTCAACTATTGAATGTATTCATATAGAAATATACTCTAGTGTGAGGTACATGTATGTTAGAGCTTTATAAAAACTGCCAACTTATAAACCTGTAAATTTAAACCCATACAGAGTACATGTTACATGCACCTGCTTAGAAGTGTGTTGCTTGTACATGTACATATATTTCATACATATGCACCAAATAAACCTGTCAATTTGAAATATACATTAGCTGTGAACTACAAATACTGCATACTTGGTCAAAGCACCATAAGGCCAAAAACTCCAGCTAATATCTCTTCCAGAACTACTCAATTTATTTCAACTGATAAATGCAATGTCATCACCCTTAACTATTTACATGCTGATCAGTCTATTGCAAAAAAACCCTGAACTACCAGCAGTTGACTAAAATATACACACAAATTTTTGAAGGATTAAAAAGATATTCGTATAAAGTTAAAACCTCAACACAGCAACATCTCTCGCATTTCAATTCAGCAAAACAAATGTATTCTACACCTTCACACAATTATGGAATAAGCAACAGTTATTGACAAATATGCATTATTACATAAAAAAATACTCTCCTGGTCTGATATGTTCTGATTGTGGTAACCAGTAATGTCCACCCATGCATTTCAAACCAACAAAATCTGGCTGTTTTCTATTTCAAGCCAATTACACTGAATTACTATGGCCCAATGACATTTCAGCAAATAACCACGTGCAAAATGAATGCGGTCTGAAGTATTTTCAAAAGACAAAACATCGAGCAATTCACACTAAGCTCAAAATAAAACATCATGGTATCTTCTATAGCATATATCTAAACTCTTTATAGTTTACTTTATAAATAGCTGTAAGGAGTTTGCTTTACACCATGATAATAAGTACATGATCTATAAGAAAAAGTACACAGTCAGGGAGAAGGCATTGTGGATACACAAAACACATCCATAGGGCATTCTGGGATAGGGGTTAGGGTGGAAAAGAAGGGTCCGTAAAACAAAAATCAACTAAATTTCAGGCTTCAAAATTATGCAGACAATTGTTCAAATGCAGTACATAAAGATGCACTGCATAAATTGGTAATTGTAACTGCGCAATTTGGTACATGTAGGTGCTGCTGAAGTTCAATAGCTACTGTTTGGTAACAAGTGGCATGCACAGTACCTACAATGCACCTGATATGTGAACTCATTCACAAGAAACCATATGCTTTTTCCAACATTGCAACCGTTTACATGTACATGTAATTCTGTTAAAAAAAGGTCTTTGTCTTTCAGATAAAAAGATGATCATAATTTTCCCAGTGTAATAGCATGTATTGTTTTCCATTAAAATTTCTTTGGGGAGGGTAGATGTCTGGAAAACTCAGGACTGACCAATCTAAATGAGCTGATGTTAGGAACTATTTAATATACCAATGTTTCATTTTGGTTTCCCGGTAACCTGGTTGCCGTAGCAACTATTACATTCGCTATAGGTCGATGCTCTGGTAACTTGACGGAGGAGTGGAAAAGGCATGTCCTTGATCAAAAGAAGTGACAATAACCAACTGAGTTGTAGATGGAGTCATACATTGAGTCATACCCTAGCGTCATTGCCACAGCAGCTTCGTGTTCCATTGCACTTGCCGATACAGACACTGGGACAGCTCCATTTTGAAAGCCACTTTGATGGTTATTAATGTCCATGGTTTCTGTAACACCATTCCCCAGGTGATGTTCTGTTTGCATTGCCATGTGGGAATTGTGTTGCAAATCGCACTGGGATTCATCGATACCCAGATCAACTTCAGTGTAGAGAGAGACGAGTTCACTGGACTGCAGTCTCTCAGGGCCAGTGTCTTGTGGGTGGGGCAGGTGCATGCAGGGACTGGGCATGGCCTGGATTCCAATACTGCACTTAGGAGGAGAAGTGGGGTCACCTACATGTATGGAAGGCATGGATAGCCCATTTGAAGTCAGAGCATCTGTAAGGAGATCAGGACAGTCCATAATAATTAATGTTGACTGTTGTTTTGAATTACATAACTATGTTGTGTTCATAAAAGTAATGCACAGCATGTATCTGATCTAAAACTAAATGTACCTTGGACTGATAGAAAGCCCAGCTAACATGTAAATACTTAATCAGTACATACATGCATGCTTACACATACATATACATGTTAAAGTGCACATGGGGTCAAATGTGCAGTGATGTGGGAAAAGAATGTGCATGTAAATTTGTATGTGTTACACAATGTCCAAGACTGTTTTTCATGAACCAACAGTGACCACAGCACTGAAACTAGTCCTTTTTCATGACGTTAGAACAAGTTAAGTAGTTAAGGAACCCAGAGAACAGTGAGAAAAAAACAGTGATCCAAGCACCGCTTCACCCACAAGACACACCTATCACATCGTTGCGACCATGACACTGCAGAACCACCACCATCCCTCCAAGATAAAATGTCTGAAATGCTTTGGGACTATCACAGGTAGTGGCCCATGAGTGCCCGACACTTTCTGGTCACTTGCTGCCTGGGTACACAGCACTGCATGAGATAATCCTGAGACTGACCAACCACGACACTCCCCTGACCATCAACTTGACTACTGAGTTGACTTTTGACCGGATGCACTGCAAACTGCAGACCAACAGATCTGTTTTCTTGGGCGTTGCAATTGGTCATTTCCACGTCTGAAGGCAAAGACATTTTGAAACATGGAAGAAAATGTTGAGTGTGACTACATCTGCTACAGAACGGAACAAACCTAAACAGCCTGTGTATACATGTACGTACATGCCTAGGACTCTCTCCTGCACATCTATTTCATCTTCAATTTCAACAAATGTATGAAATATCAAGAGCCCTAGAGCACAAGAAATTTTGTGTGAACACAGGCATTTTTTAGTACATAAAGAAAATGAGTTGGTACTATTGATATGAATTGAACATGCCATCCATAAGACCACAGTATTGTCATCCTAACTGCACTATGCGGTCAACTTTGGACCTCCTCTTAACTAGCAACATGCAGCATGGACACTACATGTAGACTCAATATGCATGCATACGTGTGTGGACAATAGGTTCTTTTTAGCGACAAAATTCTGTCAGGGAGTACTCTGAATAAGTGTACTGGTTTGTTACAGACACTGAAGGCTCATCACTACTTGTCACCCCAAATTTTCATTTGAATATGTACGACCAGAAGACAGTTCGTGTGGGCACCAGGAGCATAACGACAGTCCATTTGTGGCTCAATCTCTGTCACGTACATGTACATGTACCTGTGTGGCCATGTGTACTTGTAGAGGGAGTTCATAATGATAGGTACCTTTAGTATCGCACACATATGCTAACAATCCAGATTTCTTCATTTCTTTTTTTTTTATTTACATCTTCAATATCTGGTATTTTTACCACAATTAACAAGCCACACATAAATGCAATTTAATTTCTATTGTTGTGTTCACAGTTTCTGATTTTATTGCACTAGGTTTCAGTCACAGCCCTAAAAGAACAGCGAATATCTCCATCTATTCTCTCTTGAGGACAATGTCTTTGATGCTGTAGTTCTTCTGGTGGTTTCAGGCTGTGATCTGGTGGGACTCTGTCTGCCATCCTCACCAGCAGGATCGGTCATTTTGACACAATTTTCTTCTTTGGTTGCTATGGGAACACTATCATCTACATCCATTTCAGATGTTGCAGCTGGTGTTTCTGATTTGTGGTTTGAGGGGATTTCTTGGAGCAAGGTCCACTGGCAAGCTTGGGGGAGGGGATAAAGTTGGGGTAAAGTACATGTAGGTGGATTGTTCTGTGCGAGGTTGTCTTCCTGTGCAGTGTAACATCACACAAAGATGAGTTTCACATACAAATCCACACACCAATAAATGCATACACACGTACTGTAAAGCACTACATGGCACTCATGGCTTTGATTTCAAAAATGGAGCTATTGTTTTGCCAACGTAGTAATAAAAAAAGGATCTGCCCGTAAGCAGTTTTCACACTTCATTATACTTGTAGTACATTGTGAATGCAAAGTGAGGAGGTACATGCAATCATGCATGAAGCACGGACCTGTGGTGAGTACACGACTCATTGGTTAAAAACAAGTTGCTGGTTATGTTGTGTGCCTAGACTTAGCATGAAACCCCCTGACCTGCTTGCTTTCTGACCTGCTTGCTTTCATCATGGGGACTGGGAATAGAAACATTATAACCTTATGATCCACTTTGGAACCCATTTCTTAATTAACATTATACAATTTTTCTTAAAGTTGTAAATTGGCATACATTTTGCAAAAATGATATAACTTAAACACAGAAAATTCTTTTACAATATCTACTGGGTTTTCCACATTCTCAAACATGCAGAAAAATTCTAGGGATCTTACTTTCTGTTCCGTTGGAGGGTTTTCCATTGAAAGCAGGCAGTGATTCCACGCCATCTTCTGTTCTCGCCTTCTTCAAATCACCATTGACAATGTCGTCTGTACCTCTCTTTCTGCCCAGGTCACGACTAGAGAAGCCATTGGGAACATGATGGGAATCCTCAACCTGTTGCATGTACAGTGCACAGGGCTCATTGCTGCAGGATAGCGCCAGATCCTTGGGCATGTGGCCATTGTTGTTCGCTATCCTGAATGTTAAAGGTTACAAATTATTTATTCCAATTTATTTGTTTGGTCTTGGTCTATGAAATACACAACAGTGATGCTTTTCCAATGCCTTCTAAAGTTTGCCTCTGAACAATTTTGGAAACCCTTGTAATTTTGCTTGAGTCACACATCATTTTATCAGTAGGTTACCTGAAGATTGCACCATTGGCTTTGAGGATCCCTAGGCATTCTATTCCACCACTTCTGGCTGATTTATGGACTGGGGTTTCTCCAAGGTAGTCCTGTCAAGACAAAAAGTCAAAAATAATCACTATCACGTAACAGCAATGGCATTTTCAAACTGAGTCAAAGTTATTTAAAGCTTTCAACTTGGTCAGCAAATTTCAAGATCTTCAACTTCTCTTCTACTGTAAAGTGTTTGACATGTTGCTTTTACAAAAAAACAGACTGCATCTAGTCAAAGATGTAAATTCAAAATAGCAAACATTTAAAGAAAGACTGCCTGCGTTTTGGGGTGTAATTGTTACAACTCTGAAGCATTATGCCAGAAATATGACCGCAGGTATGTAGTACAAATGAACTTTGTGTGATTATTTGCCCTGGTGGGGCAACTTCTAAGAGTGCAAATGTGATCAAAAGAACTGCAAGGGCCACAGCATCATTTAGGCACAATTCATAATACTCTCAAGAAATGAAACATATAAGCAAAACAAGGCTGTGGTGACTTGGTACCTGAGCATTCACGCTGGCTCCTGATTGGATGAGCCACATTAGACAGTGAGGTTGGTTACCAAATGCTGCAACATGGGCTGGGGTTTGATGGAAGCGCTGTGTTGCTACGTCAAAATTCACTCCAGCAGTAACAAGCAACTGTAAACAGTCCAACTGTCAATATAGGTAAAGCAGAGCCTTATGCTACATGTAAATCAAGTCTTTAAAGTCTTTAACAAATTATTACTTGGACTATTAATGGTTACCCCATGTTGAGCAGATCTAAAGTGTTGTATTAATGTGTAAGTTTCAACTTCAACAGGTTTTGCAGTAGGGGCCTAGGCCTTAGGCCTATTGCCACTGACATGACTGATAGATGTTTATGACATTCAAACAGCAGTCTTGTAACAAATTCATTCTGGTCCAGTTGCAGAATATCCTGTTGTCCTCACCTGACCATCAGCCAGACTGACTGTGTAAAATTCCTGGGACTTTACATCGATAATAACCTTTCTTGGAGAATACATATTACATACAGATGTTCTTTTGTATCAAGAAACATTGGAACAAGGTGTAAGTTTTCTTCCATCTGATATTTTAAGGACTTTAAGTAACACATTAGTATTACCCTACTCAATGAATATTTGAATGGGGCCACTGTGGAACTGCCCTGATAGAGTACTAAAACTTCAAAAAAGAGTATTGCGAATAATTAATTCAGCAATGTTTATGAGCATTGCAATTCTCTTTTTAAAATGTAAAGTGTTAAAAATTGGTGATGTTTACTTATTCTAACTACATGTAGCTACATGTACGTTAATGCATCAAATATAATATTAATTATAACCATTAATATATGTAATTACAAACTCCTGAAATCTATCTGCTCAATGTTCACAAAAACGTAAATATTCATCACTAATTTACTTGATAATGTTCACACTACAACTACATTTCTTCACGCACTAAGCTTGCTGCTAGTGCAGTTAGGCATAAAGGACCTGAACATGCTGAACTATGGAATTCACAGGATCTCTCATTAAAAAATATTTGCAGTCTATCCTTTCATACACAAATGGGTCATTCTACGAAGTTCGGGAACAGTTTGTGACAGCGTCCCCTGTTACATCAATGAAAATAAACATCTTTTTTCCCTGCATGTGGATTCTAAATTGACATTGTTCTAAATCTTGCAAGGTTTTTGTAGTAGTGTGCTTCATCTTTGCCTAATAATAATGACTTAATCAGTTTTAACGTGAAAATAATGGGCAATAAAAGTTACCGATGTAACAAGGGACGCCGTCACAAACTGTACCCGAACTTAATGGAATGACCCAAATATAAAAATTACTTACCACTTACTGGATATACCTGTAAACTTATCACCCATTAACAGGTTTTACTGGTTTATGTTTTTGTCCCTTTGAAGTTGTAGTCTCTGCTATGCTTACATGTACATGTTTGTATAAGTGTGAATACATGTGTGTGTGTTTGTAGTTGTTATTTAGGCCTAATTTAATTTCTGGGGCCACTAGTCACTAGCATACTAGACAAGCTCTGTCATGTCTGCTTTTTAATTTTAGACGCCCCATCCACATTTATCAGTTTATTACTGTAAAATTGTGATATTTACTGTATTGTTACAAGGAGAAATAAGCCTAAACGAGATTGATATTGACCATTTTCAAATGTTAAAAAAGGCAATTTGTAGGGTCTAACTCCAAGTTACTCAGACTAGTGTGTACTACTGTCATGACTGTCTAGCTGGCCAGAGCAAAGCAAGGCTAGATTATCAGTCAACAAATGAGTCGACGTTTGCACATTTTACTGTGTCTAGGTACCTTGCCGTAATATGCTGACCAGTGCGCTGGAGTCCAACCATAGAAATGATCTTCTGTGTACAAGTCATACTCCCCGTGCGCCAACAGTACCGACAAAGCCGCAGTATCTCCATCACGGCACGCACGGTGAACAGGAAACCGACCACGGAGTTGATCTTCGCTGGACTTGTCCCAGAATCCTAGGGCCGGTGACTTCTCCATCATATGCCTGATGCCTTCCAAGGCAAGCAGCTGGAATTTAGAGAGATCTTTCACCGATTTGGGATCATTTTTAGCCTCCAGTTTGAACAGGAAACGCACGGAAACAAAGACCGTCACCCCTTACATCTCGACCATATTTTTAGCGCAGTCCGGTACGTACAATGGCGCCCTTTTTCTATTGAATTAAGTAAGTCTGGTTCTAAGCATGTTGTTTCCAAGCCTGCTTGGAATATTATGACAGAGACGCAAGCAGTCTGGGTACCAGGGTATTCTTTAAAGGAACAGTCATGGAGCGAATATTGAGGTAAAAATATGCCAGAGATGGCGGCTGTCGAGTTACCCCTTTTGAAGATATTTTTAGCCTTTGACTTAAAGTTGCATCTTGTTATGCTTTCTTGAACATTCGATCCTTTCAATGGGCGATGCAGGAGGGGGTTGGGACATGGAGGAAAAATAGTAATAATAATAATAATAATAATAATAATAAAAATAAATGAGAGGGAGCGAAAAAAGAAATGGAAAAAGGATCGAAAATCACCCATTTGCTTGAAAATACCTGGAAGTTGACCTCCTTCCACCTGAAGCTACTGATGAGTGTCCATCCCCCAATTCTGTGCCCCTTTATCCCCCCATTTAAAATTGTGAAATGGACTAAAAACTACATGAATCCATAGTATACCGGCCACGATTATTTTCTTTCACTTACTGAGGCTGACCCCTGGAGTTGGAAGAATGTGTCCAAGCCCGCGTACCACCCTCAGATTTTACCCTAGTTATGCCATAAGGTCGGACTTTTCCAAACTTTTGTTTCTGCTCCATTCAACTCCTAGCGTAAATTCAGTTTCGTAATGGTGCTTTGTTTTCTAGCAATGATTTTTTTTTAACTTGCAAAGCCAACTTGAATATGCTTCGCATTTTGTGTTTCAGAAAAATTGCCTTATCTGTCGAAACGTCAAGGTCCCCCACTTGTTTTGTTTTAGATTTAATTTGTATCCAGTAAGAAACGATATGAAATTAAATTGGTGGTATAAAAATGTGTGATAAAGTAAAAAAAAAAGGAAGGTGTCAACTGATACAAACATTGAAAAACGACTGCATGTTGCTCTGAAAAATGAAACTTAAAGCCATAAATAGCGCCCTCAACAGCCAATTTATAAGGTCATCACCTACGCTTCGATGATAAAACTTGATAAATGCATTGTGTGTACCGTGTGTGCGACGGCTGAAATAAAAACGATGAATTGCGCTTTTTACAGTAACTTATTGTAAAAAAAGGTATGTTTGCTTAAACTTCATTGTAGATATTTCTTAACTGGATTTGAAACTTTCAGTGAAGATGTTCGAAACTCTTTTATTCACTGCCACAGTGCCAGAAATTCAGATAAACGCATCGGCCCTTCCGCCTTCTGTGTGATATCCGCAGGTTTCGTGTGCTGTTTGATACGCTTTTCTCAGTGCCATTGCACCTTTTTCGTAAAAAAGGGGAAACTAAAATCAAATCCTTGTCGGACGTATTATGGTCTGTGCATCTGACAATGTATTAGACATGGGTTATAATATTTAACCTAGAAGGCGAATTGTAGATGTAGGCCTTGGGCCTACTCATGCTACTACTTAATAACTTACATACATTGTATGATCATGATAGCAAGGACTAATTTTGCCCCATTTCTTTCACTTTAAATTGTGGCTAGGCAAGCTTTTTAATGTGGAAAACTTAATATACTTACATGTTTTATACATACATTTTTGCTAAATTCAACCACAGGTTATTTTGCCAGCTAGACATAGACACTGCCCTCTTTGACATGCGAATGCCCATTCAGTATTGGCACTCAGCCTCATTTTCAATTTGACAGATCTCTGAACAGTTCCAATGATGGGATGTCTATTTTTGCTTCGTTTGGGGTGAAATCGTCATGGATTTTGACTTTTTTTATATTGTAGTCCATGCTTTCCCACAACTCCCTTCAGTTCAATATGGCAACTAAGTTGGAATGGAAAATCCTAAATTTTTGTCTCGAAATTTTGCTAAAATTGTTGCATCAAATGCATTGGTCAGTTACAGAAGGGGAGTAAATTATTGCTTCAAAGTATATTATTGTTTCTTTGTTATTAAGCTACATGTATATTTCTGCTTAATTTCATGGAAATTGATGGAACAGCAGTGGTCTTTTTTCGATCTGTGCCCAGTGGGTATCGAAATGTACATCTCATGTTCAAGCGGTGTTGGCAGTTTGAGGCCAATTTCACGTTTAAATTATTGTCATTTCCACTGCTTTTACTGCCATCAAATGTTGTTTAAATAGATTTATACATGTTTTCATAACCTTTGAGGATTGTACTTTTCAATCTTATGCTTTGATGAAGCTGATGATTACGGATTTCAAACACTACTTTCTCCGGGGAATTACCATTTTCTGGGCTAGCCTTGGTGGCATGAACAAAACGCAGCATCTGATTGGCTAGTGGCTGGTAATTTCTTCACCAACTTCACAACTTGGCTATAAAATAGGTATCCACAATTGAAAGAGAATGTACAATGAACTATGGATACAGATTATTTGCAAGTTTGAAAGCATTTAAGTATATAAAACTCACCAGATTATGGTGTTCCATATGTGCCATCCGGCGTTGCATTTTTCAACCGGCGTCGCATTTTTCGATGGGCGTGGCATTTTTCAACCGGCATCGCATTTTTCAACCACCGTCGCATTTTTCGACGGGCGTCGCATTTTTCAAACGTGCATCGCATTTTTTGACCGTGCGTCGAATTTTTTAACTGGCGTCGCATTTTTTGACCGGGCGTCGCATTTTTCATAACTTCATCGGAAAGACCTATGGAGGCCAGGATCTCGTCCATCACCAGTACCGCCAGCTTATTATAAAACACTCGAAAACTGGTCTAATAAAGAACAAAGTTATCTGTTGTGGAGATTCTCACACGTACAGCAACATTTGTCACAGAAAAAAGAAAATTAGACCGAAACGCATGTACATGTACGTGTAACCCCAGGGTCAATCAAGAAGCAGCAGCTACGACGAAATACCTTTCTACCACTGTAATGAAAAAATAAGATCAGTCTTGGCTTCCTCTGGACAGATTTTCATGGTTCAAAAAGTATTTTCGGAAAACTGTGCGCGATTTTTGTATTGCTGACAACTTCTTTCAACCAAGAAAACGTAAAATTTCTCAAAGTTATGGTGCGTGACATTTCTTCACCAAGAGTAGTTACATTTTTAAATTATAGACCGTACTGAGATAAACGCTCCCTCAGGAAGCATGTCTGCAAGATGGCAAATACTATACCAACCAGAGTGAACAATAGGCCTACCATACTGAGTTCGATTTTTGTAGCAACTAGTAATCATCAGTACGGGGACATTTTTTACTCAAAATGCTTGCAGAAGTGAGAAACCAAATTGAGCAAGGTGAACTTCCACGACTAATCGGGTTCATTAAAGGGCTGTTAATTTATTTACAAACAGTTAAACAGCATACATGCTAATTTAGCCGTTTCCATAATCATTAAAAATATGTACGCACACTTTTCACATCCAAGTCAACAACTTCAGGTCCGGCTGGACCAAGGTTGACCACTGATGATTAATGGCTTATTCACAATGACAGGCGACGGCGGTTGAAAAATGCGATGGCGCTTGAAAAATGCGATGGCGGTTGAAAAATGCGACCCCGGATGGCACATATGGAACACCATACAAGATAACACTGCGTTGTATACCATCATTAGTGTCACTGTCTCCCGTATTCACAATAACATTTTGTTATACACTTCAATTCAATCAAGGTTGAATTGTAACTATAAAATATTATTTCCTCACTCTCAGAATTGCTTACATAGTTTAAAATCTCCCTTATTTATCTTTCTTTTATAATGTGCTTTGTTCAAAAGTTCAAAACAAATGTGTGCAACTGTGTGCATTTACATGTAATACAGTTTTAAAAATATGTGTCGCAGCATTTCTTAGATTCCCAAGTCATGCAATAAAAGGCACAGATCTTTGACAAGCAATTCAGTTCTTAAGTGTAACACTAGAACTCTGTCTACTTGTATAGTACCAGATCGTAGCTCTTTTTGCAATACAAAGTTCAAAAATGTTAGAATCCCAAATTCCCATTAAACCCAACCTTCTTGTACAAATGCCGTATCAAGTCTTCATTGTGTGGAGAGTTTTTTAGATCCATTATGGCTGGTCCACTTTTGAAACAGTGAAATATTTGGAAAAAAGAACAAGATTTCAATTTATTCTCTGATTCGCCCCTCAACCATGAATAAATAATTTTTCCCTGCTGGAGATAATTTCTGAGTTTCAAGGATAATAACACCAAACAGTACATTGACCTGTGTGCATGAAATTACACAACTCATTGCCACAGTATACTTAATAAGTGAAGCACTTTTTTCTCTTTTTTTACTGGCAAAGAATTAACATTTTTTTGAAGTAATCGTCAATTCTCATTTTCTTTTTTGTGTCTCTACTTTTTTTACGTAAAGAATAACTTTTTTCAATTTCAGAACTTCAGACCTGAATAGGGATAAGTTTCCTATTCCAACACTGTACGAATGCTCCTGACGGATTAGATCGTGTGCACTACCAAATCACTGAAGGCACTAAAATGAGAGAATAGAAATGGCCAGAAAGGGGCTGACTACCAGTAGGAATTAATTATGACAGCCATCAGAAATGACACCAACCAGAAAAGTAACAATCAGACAATTCAAATGGATCTTTGATGCCCAACGTTTAAATATAGTTGTAACTTTAAAAAAAAATTGAATTAACAAGTGTTGACAATACCAGAAATGAACTTCAAATGAAATGAACATTGCCATTGTGAAGTCTTGGGTACGGGTTAGCCGCGGTGGTACTGTGCACCAATGATTGTTGGAGATGTGCACTGTGTGGGGGACATTGAAGTACTGTGGCCGTTCGCATGTGCCACTCTATTCACTCTATGACGGAGACCCATGGGTTCTTAAAGTGAAATGAAATAAGTACACTTCTTACGTGCCCTGTAGATGTACATGCATGTAAATAAAAAGTTTTTGACTTACAGAAGGCTTGAGAGTGCCAGACTGCCAATCTGAGTAGATTGCACAGATAATTAATGGACAGAAATGGTGGGTATGTGGTGGTAGACACTCTATGAAGTCCCTTGTCAGGTACTTCCTAAGATCGCTCTTGACCTGCATGTACTGGCACTGTTCAGTTGTCTGTCACCATCAGGTCCATTGTATCTTCATCTTCCACACCACCACTCTCAACCATGTCAATGTAACACTCTGCTGGACCTGTTGTTGTTGTTGTTGAAGAATTAACGGCATGTATGGCATTCGCTAGTGCCCTTTATGGCATTAGCAAAAAGGTCGCTTAGCCATGTGGTAGTACGGCTAGAAATTCAAATAGCTAAAGACACTTGATCAGACAGTAAAGACTTAAAAGAGTGGATATTATGAGAGCCAGAAAGGAAAAAGAAAAGGACATTAAAAAGTGCTACAACAGAAAGGCATTAACATGTGAGCAAGAGAAGAGGTAACGCCAATGATCCTTCGAACATGCAGTGTCGCTGGTGCCCTGCAAGGTCGGACCGTGTACCGTGCAATTTAAGGGCCCGGGCCCCACCGGGTTCTTCGCAGGTCCGCAACACCTTCAGGTGATGAAAGGCGACACTGTGTCCAGCCAACCATTGGCGCCCCCTCTCCCACACATGTGCAATAATCTCAAAATCAAGGAGGAATAAAGACTCTAAAGGGAGCAGTTAGACATTGACATTACAATTATGGATGTATTTTAGGTTTAATGGGAGAAATGTTTTTGCCCTAATAATTGTGTGAGATTCATTTGAGCGTCGGTTAAACCTAGTGTTTTCTGGACGGTCTGTCTGTGTATTGAACTTATTACACTCAAGCAGGAAATGTTTGACATCATCGATAGTTCCGCAAGAATCGCAAAAGTCATTGGAAGTTTTTCCGATGTTGTAGAGGAAAGTATTAAGTCCTTTGCAGATGCCCAGGCA